GGAAAATGTGTCATCGCAAGTGTGTTTTTTTCACCTTCAAATCTGCGATAACCTCAGATGGAGATGTTACGGGGAGCATAGAAACATTTGCACCTGCAGGGGGGATAAAAAGGAAGAGTAGAATTTAAGAAGATACATTTCTGAGAACAAAAGAGAGACTCTTTCACAGTGAATCAAGCGATTCACAGCAGACAGCAATTGTGCTTTAAATATAAGGTCGCATTTTGCCTTTCATATTGAGCATCTGCCGGTATGGTGACACATCACACACGGCTGGGCAACAGAATTCGGTTTCCAGGCAGTCATGGTAAGCCAAAGGGTACATGGGGTTGGCTTCTTCCACCTTCATGACATGTGGGAAGGGTTTCAAACTGCAGCGCCCTCCTTTCTCATAGTAAGCAATGCCGGTTGGGTTTACCGTTTAAAAGGAGGGGCTGCGGTTTTGGGGTGGATGTGCATCACACCCCTCCCCCTCACACCCCTCCCCGAGAGACGGTAGCTGTGTCGGTGGGAGAAGTTCTCCTGCCAACACAGCGGTGTCTACACAGGAGGTCAGGTTGGTATAACTACATCGCACAGGGGGTTGGTTTGTGTGGATTTTTCACCCCCCTGAGCGATGTAGTTATACCAATATAGGTCTGCAAAAAGAACAGGAGTACTTCTGGCACCTTAGAGACTAACAAATTCATTTCAGCATAAGCTGTCATGGGCTAAGGTCTGTAGTTCAGACCAGACCTCAGTTGTATACGTGGTGGTGGCAGCATCAGCAGCCGAGGAATTTCTCGATGCCATCTCCCCACCTCCCAGCCCTCCGGTGGGAGTTGAACTCACATGAATGCTCTGAACTCTGGGCCTTCGCCGACCAAGGACAGCAGCTGTGAGTGGGGTGCAGGGGAGGGAAAGGGCAAAGCTAGGAATCCCCACCTCAGAAATGACCAGGGGGCGGGGAGCTCCATAGCCTGATGGGGGAGGAAGGCCATAGGGCACCCCTCCCCCCAGATGCTTGCTCTGGGCCCTACCTGGTGAGGGCCCGCAGCCTGGGCCCATCTCCTCCCTGCAGAGCTTGGCCGCGATGCTTGTCTTCTTGATGCTGTGGAAGGGGGCAGTGTGGGGCATGGCGGCATGGATGGGGAAGGCCATCTCCACCACCAAGGGTCCCCAGCTCCCCTGCGACAGGTGGTGGGGGACCCTCTGCAGTTGCCCAGCCATGGCAGGAAGAGGGGGGAACTGCTCAGAGCTCTCAGTTGCTGTAGGGAGTGAGGGGACCCTGCAGCAGCCGAGCCCCCCATTGGCAATGGGGGACCCTAGACATCCCACTTGCTGCAGGTGATGGGGAACTGGAGCTCCCTGCTGCTGCAGGGGGTGGGACCCCTCCCCACACAACTGCTCAGCTGCCGTGGGGAGCGGGGGACTTTGAAGTGGGGCAGCGGCAGTGGGGGAGCCGGAGCTCCCGCAGCAGTGGGCACTGAGCTGAACCCGCCTCCCCGTTTTGTCAGTATATTTTTAGTGAAAGTCAGGACACGTCATAGGCTTCCGTGAATTGCCCGCGACCTGTCCATGACTTTTACTAAAAATATCTTTGCCTTACTCATGGTCACAAGCTTTCGAATTGTGGTTTTCCTATTTCCCAAATTAATGCCAGATTTCTTTTCCCTTTTTATTAAATGTTCTCTTTGTTATACACAGACTCAATGCTTGTGAGAGGGGATGTGTTGCCTCTTAGAGGCACCTGGGGTGGTCTGAAGTTTTCCCAGATTACTGGGTTGGAGTGTGTTGGGTTTGGTCACAGAAATCCCCTTGGGACTGTCACCTGATGTGCTGAAATTACCTTTGAGCCTGTTTTCCTTGCCAGCTTGGGACTCCAGAACCCTGCCTTGTTGATCCGGACACGCTAGCCTGCTGCAACACAGACCCAGGGTCTGGGCCATGCTCCCATAGCTGCAGACTTTAATTAAAAACAGCTCAGCAGTTTACCTGTCTCCAGCAACCAGACACCCAGCTCCCAATGGGATCCAAACCCAAAATAAATCTGTTTTACTCTGTATAAAGCTTATACAGGATAAATTCATAAATTTTTCACCATTTATACCACTGATAGAGAGATATGCACAGCTATTTGCTCCTCCATGTATTAATCACTTACTCTGGGTTTATTAATAAACAAAAATGATTTTATTAATTATAAAGAGTAGGATTTAAGTGGTTTCAAGTAATAACAGCCAGAACAAAGTAAGTCACGAAGCAAAATAAAACAAAACACGCAAGTCTAAGCCTAAGACATTAAGAAACTTATTACAGGTAATATCTCACCCTCAAAGATGTTCCAATACGTTTCTTTCACAGACTCCTTCCTAGTCTGGGCCCAATCCTTTCCCCTGGTACAGTCTTTGTTAGATCCAGCAGACATCTCAGGTAGTAAGCAGGGATTTTCTCATGACCGGCAGCGCTTTGTCCTGCTCCACCCCCTTTTATAGCTTTGGCATAAGGTGGGAAGCTCTTATCTCTCTGAGTCCCCACCCCTCCTTCTAAATGGAAAAGTACCAGGTTTAAGATGGATTTCATTATCAGGTGACATGGGTACATGTCACTCTAAGACCCCCAGTCTCCATTTCCCATGGGCTGGCCCACACGTACACAGGGAGGCTTTCAAGTAACTAAGGCCATTTACAACTGATTGTTTCTGGAGCATCCTTAATGGCCTCCACTTAATATGTTTTTCATCAGTGATACAAGGTTATATCTTATTCTCCTAACTCCGAATACAGCAATAATACATGCAAACAAATAGGATGAACACACTTAGTAGATTACAAACTTTCTAAAGACACAATGCAAGGGGTGTTTAGAGTAAAGTATATTCCAGTTGTGTCATATTCATAAGCATATTTCCATAAAGCATATTTCCATAAAGCATATGGAGTGCAACATCACAGGGGCTCCAGCTGGTTCTGTTTTGTATTGGAACCCCTACGTATTGAACCCGGCCCTGGTTGCTGCCGACTCCACCTGGCAGAAGGGTTATTCCTGGCAAGAAAAGCAGAAAAATGACAATAGGTTCCAAGGCCACTGAGAGTGTAATGTACAAACTGGTGGGTTGTCTCTGGGAGGGGACACACAAAGCCCCTGGATCCTGACCCATAGGGATAATGGAGCCAAGGGAAATTCTTCACGGTGCTGACTGATCATTGGGGATGATCCATCTGCACTGACAAGGTTTCAATCCCAGGGGACAATCTGATCTATTCAGATCATTACACTGCAAGAGCCAATGCCTGCCTAGCCCACAGTGAGTGACTCCTGGAGCTCCCAGGAGAGCCAAGGGAAGAGAACGCGGAGGTGCCAGGACAGGGCATTCTGTTCTGGTGCCTAAGACATCTAGGATACCCCTCAATAGTGACCGACTCTCACTGACACTTGCAGTGATGTTCCCAGCTGACTCATAACCAATCCTGAGTCATTCGGGGGGCAAAGCACCTTTACAGCAGTAATGAGACCCAGCTAGAGATGACTGTGTCACAGGCTGGTATTGGAACAGAGCAGAGAACCTCTTACCGTCTTGGTGCTGGTGGTGGGGACAGCAGACATGGATAGATCGGATGTCTGAGATTTTGTGCTGGACATTCGGAATCCCTTGATCCATCTCCTGTACTCCTCTCTCACCTGGAGAGTGAGGGACACGGTCACTGCACTATGTAACTAACGCTGAGAAGATCAGACATGGCCAGCGCAAGGCCAGTAAAGGTGCTGGGTGGGCGCTGACGGGCCGTGGGCATTACCTGGCGATTGAGGAGACAGTGCACCAGGAAGATGAAGGCTCCCTGCAGGCTGTTGACGATGGTGAATAAATACGCCATGACCGTGGCTGCTGGGCCGACTTGGAGGAGACCAAGGCTCCATGTGCAGCCCAGAATGAAGAGCTGGGCGATGGCTTTAAAGGTCAGTAACCTGGATAAAGGCAGATGGAGAGATCCCTTTACAATAACCCTATTGAGAGCAATTGGGTCAGGAGGATCTGGTCAGAGTGGGGTGGAGCTATCGGCCCCTGCTTTCCTATGTGGGACATGGTTCCTGTCAATGCAAACACACTGGAAATTCGTTCCAATGGATCCTAGATATGTTGTTCCCCTCCTGCAATCCCTCACACCCTCCCGGTGCCAAAGACCCTCCAAACCAAGACATCTGACCCTCCAGGATTGTTTTGTTGCCTTCTCACCTGTGGTCTCTGAGGGTGGACACATCTGCATTGAGGGAGGAGAGTCTGTTTCTCAGGATCCACAGGGTCAGGGCAAAGAACGTTATATTTATCTGTGGGAACAGTGGGAAATATTTCCTGTAAAATAGCCCATCTAGGGCCGGTGATTCCAGCTGAGGCCGAGAACGATCCCAGGGGACCGAGCCGAACACTGCAGAACTGGGGACTGCTCATTTCCGGTGGGAAACATCCCCTCTCCTGTAATATTCCCTGGCAGCTCTTGGTCCCTCCCCATGCGTGGAGCTGACAGCACAGCCAGGGCTGAGATGGATCAATGGGATCACAGAGGTCAGATGCTGCTCCAGTTAAATATGGAGCCTCTCCACTGGAGTCAGGAGTTATTTTGGGTTTACACTGGTGTAACTGAGAGCAGGATGAGGCTCAGAGATTCTAGATTCTGTCTCTAGAATACTTCCTGCCACTTTCAGACTGTAACAAATTCCCTGCCCCGCAAACTTCCGCAGGTGGTTGGGAGGAATATGTAGGGACATTTGTTCCCCCCTCCTACAAAAACCACTGCAGAGTTCAGCCCTCTCCCTTCCTCATTCCTTGGGTCATTAACTAGACTAGATCACACTATTGTTGTCTTTACTTTGCAAAACTCCTGATGTCCATGGGAGCTGTGCCCGAGTAAAGGCTGTAGGCCTGGGGATACAGCACAGGGACTAATCCCGGGACTGACCACAGCAGATGAGCCAGGTGGGACCTAACTTGGTCTTTCCTTGTGTTTTATGGGCCACGTTCTCCTCCCTGCTTCACTGAAATCAACGGGGTCGCAGAGGTGAGAGGAGAATGGGGCCCTGTGGTTCTGGGAGGTACCCACCAGGATTATGGCACAGACTGGACCCAGGAAGCTCCAACGAAAGCCTCTCTCCAGGCTGAGCCAGCAGCTAGCGGGAGGGAGGAAGAAGGTGACGTTAATGGGATTACTGCCCTTTTTGAGCCCCGAGGCAGAGAGGGGGTGTCACAGGGCAGCTGGCTCTCAAAAGCGAGATGGATCTCAGCCTGCCTGTGACATGGTCGACTCTCTTGCGGGCAGCAGGCAAACAGCCCTCCCCATGTACCTCAGCATCTCCTGCTTTCAGCCACCACTTCCTCTTCCACCTCCTCAAATGACCTTTTCTGGTGGATGGGCTCAGTATTGCTGGAGGGCCAGACATGCAGCGGATGGACATTGGCCTCGCTACACTGAAGGAAGTGGAGCTGCCCTGATTTACACCAGCTGAGGATCTAGCCTGGGGTGTCTAGAACACACCACACCCTGTTTTAGTGGAGTCCCTCACTTTAGAGAGGGGATCCTCAGGGATTTGCACACAGTAAGAAGATGCATTTGTTCCCTACCCACCAGCCCCACAAACCCAGCCTGGGACCTGGGAATCAACTGGGATCTTTCCCACTTATTCTTCTGCATCATCAGTGGGGTGACAAGTGTAGATGTCTGACAGATGGGCAAATAAACTACAGCGCTCAAGGCAGCTTAGTGTCCCTGGGGATGGGAAGGGTCCCAGGGGACATTCAGCTCCCAGGCAGGGTGAGCAGGGAAATCTAGGTCCAAGTCAGACCTGGGGAGAGCCAGACAACCGCGTGGAAGCCACATCCCAGCTCCCCTTCGGGATGGGCGCTGCACGTACTGTTTGGACGTTCCGTAGCCGTCAGGATTCACCGCTGCAGAAATAGCCACCACCAGGGCTGGGAATCCGTAGCCAAACGGGTACATGAATCTCTTCTTGAACCGGCTGGCGCTGGTGTAATTCACGACCTTCAGGTTCCTGACGGTGAGGAAGAGGTGCAGCCCCTCCAGGAACATCCAGCTGAAGCAGGCCAGGAAGAGGTAGTGTAGGAGGCCAGCAATGACAGCACACGCCACCTGGGGGAGACAGAGAGCCCAGGGACACTGCGGTGGGGAAGGGAAATGCTGAGTGTGGGGGAAACCTGAGATTAGTGGTTAGAGCAGGGCTCAGGGAATCCAGGTTCTGTTCCCAGCCCTGCCAAAGAGTCCCTGGGTCACCATGGGCAAGTCACTTAGGAGAGGAGTCGAGGGACAGAGAGACTGTGACATAAGGATGGAACTGGCTGAACTCCAGGGGTTGGGGACACTCAGACCACTGTGCCCAGGGTGAAGGGGCCTAATGGGGTGGAAACATCTCCCCGGGAATCCCCCCTGTGCCCTGCACAGCACAGAATCCAGGGATCACAAAGGGGTTCAAACCACACACCCCAGCCCTGCTGCGAGTGGAGGAACAGAGCAGGGGATAATCAGGCCGTACCTGACTGCCGGTGGGAGTCACTGGGGTGAGGAAGAGCAGGTTGGCCAGGAAGAGGCAGAGGCAGAGCTGCAGGTGGAGGGAGGTGCTGACGTTGCGGATGGAGCGGCACAGGAGGAAGGTGAGGATGGCGAGGAAGAGGCACAGCAGGGAGAGGGTCAGTCCCACATAGGTGATGATGGTCAGTGGGTAATTCTCCTGTAATACAGCAAAGGGACAATCACCAGTGACCCCAGCCCAGCCCCCTCAGCTCCGACTCAGCCTTTTTCCCAGCAAAGCCTCCAGTCACGCCAGGGAGAACTTTACCCACGGCTGAGTGCGGAGCTCAGGGTCCAGCCCCGTGATCGAGTCTCACGGTGAGATACCGTCACTGTGGTGGGAGCCATTAGGATGGCGAAGCTGGAGAGATGGTCACAGCTGCAGGTGGTGTGAGTGCTGTTCGTGTGCACTGCGGTGCAGCCATCTGGAGACCAACTGCTGCTTTCGGCCTCTACTTTCCAGTAGACGCAGAGAGCCTCGTCCTCCTCTTTTTTGGCCTGGAAACACAACAGAATCATCCTCAGCCTCGTGGGACCACGGAACGTCATTTCTGTTATCACATGTCTATAGCAAACCCGAGGTCACCTACAGCTCCACGGCTCTCCCCACGCAGCCCCCAGTGCCCACTGGGGCCATCCCGGTGACAGTAGAGAGAGAACGGAAAACCCACTGCTCCAAAAGCACAGGCCCTGCTTTTGGAGCAAAAGGGAAATAAATCCTTGCTAGCTGTTAGCACTATGAGGAACGTGGCACATGGCTGAGCAGTTCTGAATGCATCCAGCAGAGGGCAGTGCTGTGTGCACACATACACATATGCACCCTAACCACTTCATTACTGTATCAAAGTGTTTCCTGCTGATTCCCTGAACTCCACTATCTATAGAAAGCGGCTTTCCAGTTATTCCGGCTCAGGGGTGAGCTAGGCGGAGTTGTTACCCTACAGCACTTTGCACGGCCATGTGTCGTGGTGTGACCCCCGGTAACCTCCTCTCTTAAAACAGCCCCAACGAGTCAGGAATAAGGAGGCCTCCTCTTCTCAGGACCATTGGGAGCCAGAAAGGCAGCACGGTCCAAATGCCCGGCAGGAGATGGTGCCTTCTATAGGCCCCTCTGGAGCCCCAGATATGGAGCAAAGTGAGAGGCTCTTCCTTCATGCACCTGTCTGTGGCGCAGGGTGAAGTTTGTGGGTTTGGAGAGGTGAATGGGTCTCCCGTCTCCGAGGGCCCCACTCACCACCCTGGAGTTGAGATGACTCTTCTCCAGCTTCCCACCAGCCGGTAGATTTCCCTCGCTGAGACGTCTCGCACTGATGATGGAGTCCAGGGTGGAGTAGGAAATAAAAGCAGCAGCCCCCAAACCTGCTGGGAGAGGAGATGATCCCTCGTTAGGGAGCTGGGGACGCTATGGCAAAGAAGGAGCCGGCCGGGTGCCCAGGGGTCACAGTGAGTCTGTGGCAGATCTGGGAATGGAACCCAGGTTCCTGGCCACAACTCTTAAGATTTAGCCACTGGATCATGATACCTCCTCCCTCGGAGCCCCCAGGAACGCGTCCGGCTGGAAACGTCGAGCTGCAGGATGCAGAGATGAAGATTCAGTTTTTCTCAGCGAGACCAGGAGAGGGGCTGGCCAGGGATGAGCTTCCCCTGGTGCTGGAGGATTCGGGGCCCTGAATATGGCAGCTGAGGGTACACGTTACCCTGGTCCCCACATCTCCATTTGGGGGTCTGGCTAGACTGGGGCGTCCCTGCTCTTTCCATTCTCTGGGCCCACTTCATACCAGAGACCCTCTCATGAGCTGTCTCCCCTCTGCCCCCAACTGCTCACTGCTCGGGGCTCAAGCTGTGGGACAGGCAGGAACGAAGGTGTCAGCTCCATGGCCACAGCCTGAGAACCACTGGCTCAGCCAGCAAGGAGCCCTCCAGGGCTAGAGACAGAGGCCAGGGCCCGGCCTGGGGATCCACGGGGAGGGAGGGAGGAACGGGGGAACCCAGACTGGGGTTCAGTGCCCAGGAACTGCTCTGTGCTGTGGTTTGGGCCCTGGGACTCTCCATCCCCAGGATGTTCCTTGTGTGGCTGCCCCGGTGACTGTATCACAGTGCACGACCATCGTCTGCTCGTGAGCTCTCAGCGTGAAGACCTCACTGTCCCGGCTGCAGTTCCCTGTGACGAGCCGTGTCTGGATAGCTGCAGGGGAGTGGGGGTGAGGAATGACAGAGCCCCTCGCTGTGAAACCACTTCCCTGGGAATCTGTCCATTCTGGGCCAGATCCGCCTCCCTCTCACTCCACTTGGAGCCGGGGGGCTTCAGGGCTCTTCCGCACTGTGGGAGGGGGAAGTTTGGAGCTCCCTGCCCGAGTTCCATTGATCACCCCCAATATCCCCTCCCCACATTCTGGCTGTGTCTCCATTGGGATGCTGCCTCCCCAGCAGGGGGAGTATTCGGGGTGGGGGGAGGCGCCTGGCTCAGCATGGCAGCCCCTAGTGGTGGAATGCCAAATATTACATTTAAAGCCCTCTCGGACATTGCTGTTGCTCCTGGGGGCACTGGCGGGGCTGGGTTATATTTCCTGGTGCAGGGGCAGTGCTGGTCTGTGTCTGTACTGAACACAGGCTCACATCCACAATGGTATATAGGCTCTAACTTCCAGTGGATTTGGGGCACAGTGTATAACCCCGTATCTCACGGCAGCCAGCAGGTGGCGCTGAGAGCCACACATCCCCCCTCACCCATAGACTCTGTCGTCATGTTCTGTGTGGTTATCTCTGGAGACTGGAGCGCAGTGGCCAGCGCGGCCAGTTCCACGCTCTGCAGCAGCACTGTCAGGGCCAACCCCACGTCCCCCTTGTCTCCGCCATCCCAGAGGGAGGTGCTCTTCAGGAGGGCACTGAAACCGAGAGTTGCTTCCTGGGGACAGGAAAGTAAAAGCCCTGGGAGTGAGGAGTCCGGGGGTTGAGGTGCCACGTCCTGTGTGTTCCCAGGGGGCATCGGGCATTACAGCCTCTCCCAGTTCAGGGGCTGCAGTGCTCTCAGAGGGGGAGCCCTTTACAAAGGGGGTCCACTGAGGCTGACGCAGAACCCCACTGGGACCTGAAGCCAACTGGGGTAGAACCCTTTGTCCTTCCTTCTTCACTCCCACTCCCCCATTCCTCTATTGCAGACGCCAGGGAACAACATTGTCACAAGCCCACGGCTTCCTAGGCTGTCTCTATGCTGCGTCCGGCAGCTGCTCAGAAATGTCTGTCAGGGCAGGGATAGAGCCCAGATCCTGCTGCCTGAAAAACTTAGGTCACTGATAGATGAGCTGAGGAGAATCCCAATTAACTGTTAGCAGTATAGCACCTCTGATGAACAACAACAGTTCTGAACACTAGAGGGTGCATGTGGGTGGACAAAAACAAACGTGCACTCACACCATCAGAGGGCGTGTGCACGCAGACACAGACAAACACCACTAGAGTGTGCATCCCCCCTCCCCACAGCAGTGGAGGGCACAGATCTTTTCTGAAGAGTATCTACATGGCTCCCTCCCCCAAGATGAGACTCCTAACCCAGCACAGCAGCAGGCAGGGCTCTGGGGCACACAGGGGCACTAGTCTGCAGGGCACATTCAAGGGAAGGAGCCTCTCACCTCCAGTGATAACGCCGCACTCCCATCTCTGCACGTGGACATCAAAATGTCTAATGTTGAATTAAAGAAAGAGCAAAAACTGCTGCTTCTGCCGCTCCGCTTTCCCTGCAGAGAGACCCAGAGCAGAGGGTGAGTTCTGCAGGCGCTGAAGGGCGACCGACATTGGTGTTTGACTTATGCAGGGGCCTGATCCTGACACCTCTCGTTGAGTGAATAAAGCTTTTATATCAGACGTGTCCAGGACATGTACAATGGTGCTGTTGCCACAGCGCGAGGTTCATGTGGCGAAAGGGAACAGTTTCTAGTAACAGCTGGAATACATCAAGGCTTGGGACTAAACCCCTTTTTGTTCACATCGGTGCTGGATGCATTGACAGAAAGCAGCCAGAGAGTGGCCCCTGGCACATGCCTTTTGCAGATGACGTAGTGCTCGTGGGGGGAGAGGAAAGAGGAAGTGAAGGAAGATGCAGAGAGACATGGAGGTGCATATT